ATATGTTATTTTCTATAAATAACAAAACACATTGTATTTCTAGTTCATTAATTTTAAATTTGATTAATAAAAGTGTTTATCAACTTTTATATATATATATATATATATATATATATGGTTTCTTCAAAACATCCAACAACATTTAAGGGGTGTTTGTGATTGTTTATAAAAACTTATTGACTTATTTTGGTGTGACGCCGATAATAAGCATTTTTTAATTCTTGGATAAACAACTTATACCGGTATCAAACCGGTATAAGAAGTTTTTGAAAAAGTTAAATTATTCTAACTTATAATAAGTTGATAACCAATTTTATAGAGAAAAAAAACATAAATTATTTCAAATAAGCAATTCCAAACACCCCTTAGTATGAAAGTCAAAATTTTCAATATATAAAGTATAAACCCAAGAATAAATATTGTTCAAACACAAAACACAAAATCTAAAAGTCAAAAGTATGGTTAATTATCTATTACAAAGCAAATTTATCAAAAGTCTTAACAATTTTTAATGCACAAAGTACTATACATTTATGCACAAAGTCTTAAAAGTCTTAAAAACAACTCATAATGCATTAAGTAATACTACTTTATGCATTCAGTTTTAAAATCTCTTAATCTACAATTAAAATAACATATAATACAAGTTACCAATGCACATTATTACTTTTTCTTTTCATGTTCTCAATATACTTTTAACACCTTTCACTCAAATTTTCACCCTTTCATACATCCATGTCTTCTTCCCATCCCCCAAGGTGAGATTCAAAATTAAATTCATCATGAATTATTAAAAGTTCTCTCATTCAATTGTTCTAGAACTCTCGGTCTCGCTCTCGATCTCTTATTGTTTGCTCTTAGTGTAAATCGAACACATTTGTGGAGTCGCTTAAATATATTAGATTTTAAATTGTCATACAATTTTTTTCATCAATAGACTGTAATTGGAATCATAACTCTTATTTATTCAAATTGTATTAATATGTAAAGACCAATTATAACTTATATCATCGTTAAATCTTCTCTAATAAAACCAATGAAACTTCAAAATCGTTAAAATTTACGGCTCCCGCCGCATTGCGCGGGTACACAACTAGTAAGATACTATTTCAAAACCATATTAACAATAAATCAAAAAACCCTAAAGAGACCGTTTAAGATGTAGATTTAGAAAGAAAAAAAGGCGATGGAAGTGATTTGAGTTGCGTTGACGAGAACGATGAGATGGTGATATTCAACGATACGAGATGGTGATATTCAACAATACGAGATGGTTGTCGTCAAAAAAATTAGAAAGAAAAGGAACAATAACAGGTAATGATTTGCAATCATGATGGAGTTGATCAGTTGTCAGAAACGAGAACAGTGTGATGGTGATGTTGAGACCGATGAGGAAAAAGAAAATTTGTGCATGGTGGGGTTGTTGATTGGTGCATGTTAGTAGGGGTGCTCATGGGTTGGGTTGATCGGGTTGAGGACATTTGAACAACCCAACCCAATGCTTACGGTTTGGAAAAATCTTAATCCAACCCAACCCAATCGGTCGGGTTGATACTTTGGTATATTAAAATATTCTTCTAACCTTAAATATGTTATTTCTCTACTCATAATTTCTTTTTCATCATCAACCATTTGATACAACATATTCATATTTCTTACATATATCACATTCAGTTAATTTTCTCAATTTACATATATATGTTCACAGTTACTAAATGAATTATATAGAGATATGAATAGATCGAAAATATGTGTATATGAAAAGCATGCATGATAGTGTAATTGTCTAATATATATATTAATAAAAATTCAACAATCATATTAAATCCAAGAAATAAAAGGATATCGGGTTTATCGGATTGGGTTGGGTTCGAATAATAATAACCCAATATCAACTCAATACCTACGATTTGACAATTTTACAACTCGATTAGACATCGGGTTGCTTCTGTGATAACCAGATCCTGGTTATTACCCAAGGTATTCAATACGTAATTATTTGATTAAATGACTACGTGATAAGCATGATAAACTGATATGTTTGATACATGCTGATATGCAAATTTGTGCATTTGTTTGGATAAAGGTATATATATAT